CAAACCTCAAAACAAAAACTCAAACATTTAAGGAAAAAATTATTTCTTAAACTCTTTTAAAAAATAAAAACTCAAACATTTAAGGAAAAATTATTTCTTAAACTTTTTTAAAAAATAAAAAAAGTACTAATATGATAAAGGTATCACAAGAGAATAATACTGCAGACTATATTCCTATAGATATATACAAAATTCTCAATAAAATACTAACAATAGAAAAAGGATTATGTACCATGAAAAAGTATGGTTTGTTCCAGGAATGCAAAGCTAGGTCATATATTTTTTAAATGTACACATTTATTACAAAATCATAATAAAGACTGGGCAGTGTTTTGCTCATTCTGGAAAGATGAAGCTCAGTAATAACACAATCCCGGAAAACCATCCAGAGATTGTGGCAATATCTTTCATCTAAACAGTCAGATATTCTTGTGTTACGCTTGATGAAACTGCCTTTCAAAAATAGAAGGGGAGGCTGGTCGCCCATTGCTCAGTGGTTAGGGCGCCAGCCACAGGCACCGGAGCTGGTGGATTTGAATCTGGCCCGGGCCTGCTAAAAAGAAAAAAAAAATAGCCTGGCACTGTGGCAGGCGTCTGTAGTCCAGCTACTTGGGACGCTGAGGCAAGAGAATCACTTGAGCTCAAGAGTTTGAGGTTGCTGTGAGCTATGACATCACAGCACTCTACCGAGGGTGACAAAATAAGACTCTGTCTCAATACAAAAAAAAAGAAAGAAAACAAAAAGAAACAAAAGTGGAAGTAAAATGAAGGAAGCAGACCTTGCTTATCTTTCCAAATGAAATACAAGAAGGATCTTCACATACAAAAGGAACAAACATTTGTTATTTTATTACTAATAGTGCTACAATGAACAATGCAAATTTTGTGGTCTCATTTTGTTGAGTCTTCTGTGGGTTTGGTTTTTTTTTTTTTACATTTTAGAAACTAAACAGTAAACTTCTGTCAGTGTGCTTGCTTGTCTTTACAAACCCAAGTCTGTCTGCTGGCAAAAAAGAAAACAAATGAAAAAATTCAGAACGTGCTCAAATGAGAGAAAAACAAATTACAAATTTAGTTGTTGTGCAGCACATAATTAGTAAGGCAGGACCTCAAATGGTGACCTTTTTTATAAGCCAATTGCCAGATCCTAAAGGAATTAAAATGGGGGTGCCTGAGCCACATCAGTTCTGCAGTTATGTTGAGTATTGTGCCAAGACAGCCATATCCCAGGAAAAGGGAAGTTTTTTTAGAAGCCTTGCTGAGCAGGGTTGTAGTTGAAGATGAGTGGCAGTTGAGGTCGTTCTTCTAATTTGTCATATTCCAGATGGAACTCCTTAGCTACTTTCCTCCAGTTAAGATAGTCAAAGAAGTAGTATATTCCCCTCTCGTAGGCATTGGTTCTCATTGTTGGATCTATGCCTGGTACCCTGGTAATCCATACTCGTTCTTGTTTGTGGTATCTCCAATTACGGTTATAAAGCTCTATTGCAGCAAAAATTTGTAATACGTCTCCTCTATTCATGTAATAGAGATAGAAGAGAAGGTCCTCTCCATATCGGCCAAGTTTTATTGCAGCCAGCTTAGCCCTAATGTGAATGTTTGTTAAGTACTCAGATGGAATATGGAAGTCTATGTCTTGAGGTCGACAAGGTGAAGATGCCCAGGGTGATGCAAATTTGGGGTAGAGATTTTCAGGAGAATTCAGATTGAGGCCTAATGTCGTTAGATCACTTCCTAAAGCGAGATGCACCATTCCTGGGGCTGACTCTGCTGCCCTGATAAACGTTAACAGGCCAATCATTCCAAATTGGTCTGTCAACATCCCTGGAGGAACGTTAGTAACCCGACCATCAGGTAACACCTGGATCCCTTTTTTCTGCTGATTATTACTTTGTGTTGTTGAACTTTTATCTCCAGGGAATTTGTGTATATCTATACTTGAAGCTATCATACCAAACCGATTCAAATTACATTTACTGTCATCAGTACTTGATGTTGGATTTTTATAGCTGGCACAGGGTAATGCTGGAAAATCTTCACTGTGTATTGAGAAGTCTTGGGATTGCTCATTTGCTGTTTTTGTTGCCATTCCAACATAAAGAGGTCGTCCAGCCAACGGGTTTATTAATGGATTTGGGTTACCACTTCCTTCCCTTCTGTTTTGGTTTGCTAATGCTGGAAAATCTGAAAGGTGCAATCCTGTCATAATTTCACTTTCATCTTTTTCATCATAAATGTTACTTACTAAAGAGTTATTCATTCCAAATGCCTGATTCCTGCTCATTACAAATCTAGACATACTGTTAACAGTGAAAGGCTGTTGAGAAGGCTGCTGCTTTGTCATAGATGTTGTACTTGGCGTGCTTCTGCTGAGGGTACCTAACCCTGAACTACTCATGCTATTTGTCCTGCTGGGAATTCCAATGCCTTGACCAGCCTGGGAGTAGTTCATCATACTCCTAGGATTCACAGGCAAAATCCCCCTGCTTGGAAATGGAGGCGTGTGAAATGACGCTGTTGGTAACCCTGTTGTTGGTATGACGTGGCTCGGTAACTGAGTGCCTTGTGATAAGCCGCGAATTAACTGAGGTGTATTGCTGCTTGTCCCCCTCATTGGAAGGCCTATTGCACCCTGTTGCTCATATGAACTTGCCCCATACTGAGACAGCTGACCTGATGCCAGTGTATCTTTTTCTGACTGATGTGGAAACATAGAAGACTGGCTGTAGTAAGAGTTTTCTTCTTGGTAGTCACCATGGACCCCCTCTGCATACTTCTTTCTTGAAGCACCAAACATCTTGTTTGTCACCTATAGGAAGAGCATACAGTTCAGAAGGTCAGCAATACCCTCAGTGGTGTTTATCGCAAGCAGCATGAACTTAGTAATGAATGGTAGAAACTCAAGTCAGAGAGACTGGTGGGAGCCAGATCATCTAGTACCTGGCAGGCCTGAGGGACTCTGGATTTTATTCTGTTAGTTTCTTCTCTCACCTAATGTATGTCCATCAGTCCTCACCATAGAGTTTTGTCCTTTTCTCATAGTATGCATAAATTTTCTTGTCTAGGTCATCGTATTAAAATCAGTCACTGTAATACGTTACACTGAGAAAAGAAAAAATACATGATAGTTCAATAGATGCAGGAAAAAAAAATTGATAAAAATCTAAGACCCATCATTGGAAAAAAAAAAAAAAAACTCTTCACAAACTAGGAAAAGAAGAAAACTTCCTCAACCTGATAAAGGGCATCTATGAAAAACCCTAGTAACAGCTAACATCATACTTAAGTGGGCAAGGCTGAATGCTTTTCTCCTTTAAGATCAGGAATAAAACAAGGATGTCCTATCTTGCCACTTTGACGTTGTATTGAAAGTTCTTTCCAGGGCAGTTAACAAGAAAAAGAGAAAAAAGATATCCACATTGGAAAGGAAAAAGTGAAACTATTTCCATTCACATATAACAAACTATTTACAGCTAATGAATGAGGACAGGAAAGTTACAAGACAAGGAATCAAGAGATCAAAATCATTTATATTCCTATATACTATCAATGAACAATCTGAAAATGAATTTTAGAACACAATTCTATTAACAATAACATCAAAAAGGAATCATTTAGGAATAAATTTAACAAAACAAGTCTAAGACATACACTGAAGACTCAAAAACTTGTTGAGAGAAATTAAAGGAGACCTAAATAAATGGAAGCACGTCCCATATCCATAGATTTAAAGCATTTTTATTATTAAGAAGATAATACTTCCCCAAATGATTTACAAAATCAAAAAAATCTCTTGTCAAAATCCTAGGTGCCTCTTTTGAAGAAATGTTAGGCAAGCTAAGTCACACATTGAATTTATGGAAATTCAAGGGACCCCGAATAGCCCAAACAATTTTGAAAAAGAAGAACAAAGTTAGAGAACTCACACTCCCTGATTTTAAAATTTATTACAAAGCTACAGTAATAAATACTGTGAAGTATTAGCATAAGGATAAATGCATAGATCAATGGAAAACAACTGAGTACCCATAAACAAACACATACATATATGGTCATCTGATTTTCAACAAGGATATGAAAGTCCATACAATACGGAAAGAATAGTGTTTTCAACAAAAGGTGCTAGGACAACTTTCTGGATATCCACATGTAAAAAAAAAATGAGCTTGTACTCTTATTCATGCCATTTCTAAAAATTAGTTCAAAATAGATTAAAAAGCCAAATTTAAAAAGACAATCCATAGGATGGGAGAAAATATTTGTATATCATAAATCTGGTTTTAAAAACTTATATATAGACTATATAACAACACTTATACCTCAACAATAAAAAAACAAAGAAATAACAATAAAAATGGGCAAAGTATTTGAATGGATATTTCTCCACAGATGGACAAATAGCTAATGAGAATATTTTCAACGCCATTTGTTGTTATAGACATGCCAGTCAAAACCACAATGAAACACCATTTTCATCCACTAGGATGACTATAGAAAAATAAAAGAAAAAGCAGGAAATAACAAATGCTGGTGAGAATGTGGAGAAAGTAGAACCCTCATACATTGCGAGTGGCATGTAGTACAATATGGCTTCTTTAGAAAACAGTTTGGCAATTCCTCAAATATTTAAAGGTAAAGTTACCATATGACCTAGCAATTCCATGCCCAGGTATATATCCAAGAGAACTGGTTCACACAAAATCTTGTATGCAAATGATCATAACAGCATTAGTCATAGTAGCCCAAAGCAATCTAAAATCCATAACTGATGACCACTAGATAAAGAAAATGTGATCTATCCATAAAATGGTATTTTATCAGCCATAAGAAAATTGAAGTCCTGATACATGCCATAAGATGTGTGAACCCTGAAAATAACATGCTAAGTGAAAGAAGCCAAATATATAATGCTAAAAATTATATGATTCTATTTATATGAAATCTCCAGAATAACAAATAAATAGGAACTGAAAGTAGATGAGTGGTTGCTAGGGGCCAGGAGAAGGGGAAAATAGGCAGTGTGCACCAATAAGTACACAGTTTCTTTTGGGATTATAAAAATATTCTAAAATTAGTGGTGACAGTTGCACAACACTATAAATATACTAAAACCCACTGAATTATATACTTTTAAATAGTTAAAATGATGAATTTTAAGTTTTATGTATTTCTTTCACAACAATAAAATGAAATATAATATTTACCTCACTGGGGACAATATTGTCCCTTTAATACTGTCCTTTTAAGAATGTACACCAGATGATGATGAACATTGAATCTATTGTCTAACAACAGAGTGTGAGCAGTTATTCATACTCATACTTTGCCTTGGGGAAGTGGCTGACATTTGAATGAAGTAATACATTTATGGCACTGCCCTGAAGCTAATAATAATGATGGTAACTCAAACGATAGCAAACTTTCAAAAAGGTCTTACAGTGGGCCAGTTTCTAGAGCTTGCAAGTTTACATATCCTCTCATTTCAATCCTCAAAAAAACCTAAATGACAAATATTAGGTTGAATTGTAGGAAATTACTAATTTTGTAGCTCAAAAAAGATCAAATATTGTTGTTTTATATAGTTGATCCTAATATTATTATCACCACTCCCAATTCATAGATTAAGAAGGAAAGGAATCGGGAATTAAAATAACTTACCTGTCCAGGATCACATGGCTCTAAAGTCAGGATTTGAAATCATAACCTTTCTGATTCAGTGGCTCCCACCAACTCTTTGTACATTCGTCATCCACTAACAAACACTGATCAAGGGTGGGTATTCTTCTTTTCTTTCTTTGGAATGCCACACCATCCTCTCACTCTTTTTCTCTCTCCTACCCCCATCTTTCCCTCACTCACTCTCTATTCTCTCCTCTCTCTCTCTTAGTAATCTCATTCCCCCAAATTTATAAATAAATTTATAAATTTATACTTTTATAAAATAAATAAAAAATAAATAAAATAAAATAAATAAAATAAAAAAATAAATTTATACTTTTATATCCTTAAAAACATTGATTATGCATGTAACACATGCTAAAGCACCAAGAATAAAATAATGAATAATACAGAACCAATTCTCCATTCCAAGATCTCACAGTACAGTATGAAAGACATGAAAACAAAAAGCATGGCCACTCAAGACTGACATAAGGGCAATTATAACAGGCAACAAGAGAGACTACAGAGAAGGAAGGGTAGTCTTAGTTCAAGTCTTCTGGAACAGTAATGCCAAGGCAGAATTAAAGGAGCACGGGTTTTGTTAGAGGAAATTCCTTTCTGAGAAAAAATAGGACAGGAGCCATTAAAAGGCTTGGAATGTCATTAGACCATGATACAAGTCTGACATGAATAAAAGAGAAGAGAGAAAAAGTTGAGTGGTAGCACTCTAGACTGCCATGCAGCCTAAAAGAGGTTTAACAAAGCTATTGCTGGGGAACACCTCAATCTAAAGTTATCAACAAAGAAGAGCCATGTCTCCCTAGAACAAGTCTGCCTTAGCAAATCTGCTGTCTTCAATAATTGACTGGGAGCAATCCATGCGATGTGAATCCTTGAAGCAACATGGACATGAATTTCACAGCACAGTAGCTAGGACCTTTGGTTAATTATGCTTCCTGTAGATGAAGTCCTCAAGGTACATTCCTCATGGTCACCACAAGGATTAAGTGTCAGGGAAGGCTTTCTGGCATTGGTGATTTTTTACATGGATTCCAAGATTATAACGTCATAATGTATAGAGACAGCATAAGGAAGGAATCAAGCACCATGTAGAAGAGGATGAATGAGTAATTATGATACTCAATAAGCTTCATGTTAGCTATGGAACTTAGTCTGTGGAGCTTTCAACAGTTTTTCTTGCCCTACCTGTGTCCCCAATGTTTTATTCTTATAATCTAGCACTTATTGAAAAATGTTACAAAATAAACTATAATTAGATTATCATTGAATGTTGCATTGCTCACTGTAATTCAGCTCCTCATTTAACACATGGAAAACTTAGTACATTAATATTCAGCCATTCCAGGCAGAGTACTTCTAAAAGATTTGTGAGTTCATTTACATGTTTATCTGCTCTTTTCTCCTTGGGAGTTAGACTGTTCTTCCGCTTGATGATTAGAATGAATTGGATATTTTGAACTCATCTATCAGATTTGGAAATGATCTCTTAATTGACGAGGGTGTTTAACAGTTAATTGAACATTTCTACTGTGAACTTCCATTTTTCTTAAGTATAGAAATAGCACAGCAGAGCTGTGGACAAGTCAAGTCTACCACACAAACATCTTTCTGTGTCTATCTTGCTGTTAGTAGTATCCCTGTTTCCTTGAAAACTGCTATGCACACAGAGGGCCTTCAATGATTTTTTTCATTTTTCTATGTTTTTTTTAAAAATATAAATATATATATATGAGCAACTTATCTCTGTCATATGTGTCATACGTAGCTACTGAGAAGTTTAACCTGCTCTTATAATAAGCTGTGAAAATCTGAATTGTTGGCTCGGCGCCTATAGCTCAACCGGCTAAGGCGCCAGCCACATACACCTAAGGTGGCAGGTTCGAATCCCCAGCCCGGCCGCCAAAAACAACAATGACGGCTGCAACCAAAAAATAGCCAGGCGTTGTGGCGGGCGCCTGTGGTCCCAGCTACTTGGGAGGCGGAGGCAGGAGACTCGCTTGAGCCCAGGAGTTGGAGGTTGCTGTGAGCTGTAATGCCACGGCACTCTACCCAGGGGGACAGCTTGAGGCTCTGTTAAAAAAAAAAAAAAAAAAAAAAAAAGAAAATCTGAATTGTTATCAATCTATCTAGAGTGTTTGGGTCCAAACACCAAATACTACATCCAAATACTACATCAGAAATTTATATTATATCTTCTTCCCTTCTCTCTCTTCTCCCTTCCAAATAACCACCTTACAACTGCCTAAAAGCTATAATAATGTATAGAATTCAGCCTTTAACTCTAAAACATATGTACATTCTCTAACCCAGAATAGAAAAAAACAATCTTTTACTTTGAAACACTTTCAACCATGAAAATGATTCCCT